ATTTCGAGGGAATGTCTGCCGATATCGACATTGAACCAAGAAAGAGTGAATCGCCTGGTTCAAACCTGTGGCATCTTTCGGGAAAAGCCGAACCCGCTCATGCAGGTGAATCCGGGTACAAAGAGCTGGCCCTTGGGGTTCCTACATCAATCCTGCGGTATTTTTCCCTAGTGCGGATCTGGGCTCCATGGCTCGGTCCAAGACATGGACAAGGGAAGTTTGAATTGTCCGAAGAAGCCATATTGTGCTCATTTCTGCGGACTGACGGAGTACACATCGTGCTTCTTGGGTTGTCTGGGACGGATAATGTCTTGACCACTTTTGGATCAGCCGAAAATGGGGAAGTAATCGTCAAATCCCTCAGTGACAACCCAGAGCCATCTACCTTCCAGATACTGGCATCAGCTGCCGAGGATTATGAAGTTGCAATGAGCGCAATCGTATACGAAGCTCGCAAGCTTGCAAGACCATACGCCGAGCAAGAGACATCTGATCACAAGCGGGCCCCGGTTTCCCCTCCACCGGACGATATAGTGGTGGTAGAAAAGGATGTGAAGGCACAGTGGATGGCTGAGTGGTACGACGGCTTAACCTACTGCACCTGGAACGGACTGGGTCAGGATTTGACAGAAGAGAAGATCCTTCGCGGTCTTGACTCATTGAAGTCTCATGGAATCCAGATCGCTAATCTCATCATTGACGACAACTGGCAAACGCTGGACGAGGCCGACTCACAGTTCAAGAGGGGATGGAAGCAGTTTGAAGGAAATCCAGCTGCCTTTCCCAAAGGTTTCAAACAGACCATTGAAGCCATTCGTCAAAAGCATCCGAACGTCGAACACATCGCAGTTTGGCATGCGATACTCGGATATTGGGGAGGCATTTCATCGGAGGGTGAACTTGCCAAGACATATAAGACCAAAAGAGTAGAGATAAAAGTGCCTGCTGTGGGAGGAGCTATCTCGCATGCGTTTGAGAATGGCTCGGTGCTGGCAATTGACCCAGATGATGTCCAGAAATTCTACGATGACTTCTACAGATATCTTGCCTCTATTGGAGTTGACTCCGTCAAGGCAGACGCCCAGTTCTTTCTCGATCTGATCAAAGACCCAGAGGACCGGAGAAGATTCATCACCGCTTATCAGGACGCATGGTCCATCTCCACGTTGCGACACTTCAGCTCAAGGGCTATATCCTGCATGTCAATGTTCCCACAAGCCATTTTCCACTCACAGCTTCCAACGACCAAGCCTACTATTCCTCTGCGAAACTCAGACGACTTCTTCCCCAATATCGAGTCATCCCATCCATGGCACATTTTCTGCAACGCCCACAACGCCCTGCTGACCCGCTACCTGAACGTCGTACCCGACTGGGACATGTTCCAAACAAGCCACCCGTACGCCGGTTTTCACGCCGCGGCACGTTGCGTCTCCGGAGGGCCAGTATACATCACGGACGAACCCGGCAAGCACGACGTGTCTCTTATTGACCAGATGACTGCCAAAACCATACACGACGGAACCGTAATTCTCCGCCCAAGCTTAATCGGTCGTGCCATGGACATCTATCACGACTATAACGAAGGCCATATAGTGCGCGTAGGTACATATACCGGCTGGGCCCGAACCGGCAGCGGCATCCTAGGCCTCTTCAACATCTCCACTGCCGAGAAATCCACCATAACCCACCTCCTAGACTTCCCAGGAATCCACCAAGACTCCCAAGGTGACTACATCATCCGCGCCCACACCAGCGGCATGATTGCCTCGGACCTGCGCGTCCCGGACACGGAGTCATCCCTAGTCACAGTAACTCTGCCCCCGAAGGGCTGGGAAATCCTAACAACATACCCAACTTACACCTTCGACCTGAAGGCCAAGAAACGTGCCTCCACAACATCCCCAGAGACGAAGGTAGCAGTCTTAGGCCTAATCGGAAAAATGACCGGCGCAGCAGCAACCATCTTCTCCGATATCTACGTTGAAGATAACGGCCGACTGCGATTCGACATCAGTCTGAAGGCTTTGGGCGTACTGGGGATCTATTTCTCCGATCTGCCGGACTGGAGTCTTGATGACAACTTCATGGTCATGATACTGGGGAGACCTGTACCGAAGAAGACTGTCTGGAAGGAAGGTGGTGATAAGGGGAGAGTGGTGGCGGTGGATATTCTGACTGCGTGGAAGGAGATGGGGTTGAAAGCTGGGTGGAGCAATGATGTTCTTGTTGAGGTGTTTGTTGGTTGAGACATTAATAAAGGGGTATACATATTATAAGGTTGTCGTCAGAGGATATTAGTACATCATGATATAGAACAGACTGAGTATATACAAAGATTCGCCAAGCAAGACAATGAATAAGAGTGTTTGTCCTGAGCAAAGTATCCCAGGGAGCAAATTCACTACTCAGTAGCGGCTACTGGTGGCATATTCAACTGTTAGAAGCAGTACTAGACGCTGACATGCGAGGATATTATTGTTTGTGCAATATTACATGAACTGAACATTTTTAATATCTTGATACAATACCCATATATAACATTCTGCCATTATTCGTACGACAATTATATCACGAAAAATACCAACAAAGCCCTCAAATCCAGGATCAGAAACATCGCAATAATCTCTCCCACTCCACAACTACACCCCTGCACCCCTGCATCATCCCTCCACTACTACCCCCTCAACCCCCAGACAAAGAAACCCTCACCTAATAATCTCCCGTCGGCAACCCCCTAACCGGCACATACTGGCCATGAAACCCAAACGCAACGGGCCCAGCGACCCTCGCCCTCCCCAACTCGACCAAACTCCTTGCATCCAAACAAAGAAGATAACTCTTCCCCGTCAACCCATCCAACACCACACTAAGTAACACCCCATCATCCTCATCTCCATCCTCCTCTCCACCATCCGGGTTCGGAACGAAGATCGGTTCCCCGGGGGACTGGGCATGATGGGACCATACCTTCGTTTCCCCGGACTCGTTATCGAACTTGATGATGCTGTCGAAGAGCGTGGATTTGCCTGTGTCTGCGACGGCGTACATGTAGCGGTGTTTGCGGGTTACGTAGGCCGGGTGCATGGTGGGGAGTTCGGGGGAGAAGGGTTTGCAGGAGGTGGATTCGAGGAGGGCTTCTTGGGGGGTTTGGGGTTCGGGGTTTGGTGTTGATGATGATGATGATGGTGATGGGATAGTAGGGAGTCGGAAGCGAGAGACAGATGAGCAAGTCTCGTCTGTTCTGGGCTTGGCGTGAGGAGAGTCGGAGAGGAGGTACTCGTAGTAGAGTTTGTGCATGAAGTCTGCGGTGTCGAAGGTGACTAGTTCGGCGATAATGTCGGTGTCGCCTTCCTGGGTTGTTTCCTGCCACGCGTTGATGGTGTGGAAGCAGAAGAATGGTCGGCTGGTGTATGTGGCTACGAGACCTCGTTCGCCGGTGCGGTCGATGACGTACCATGTTGCTGGGAGGGAGGGGTCGAAGGGCTTGATGGCGTCGAGGAAGCTTGTGGAGTTGGAGCCGAAGTCGGCGGGGGAGATGTGGGCGTTCCAGACGCAGAGGACGACGTAGTCTGCTGTGATGAGGAGGGAGTGCAGGTAGGCTGGGGTTGCGGGGAAAGATGCCAGGATGGTGGTTTCGCCGGTTGAGGCGGAGGTGCGGAAGATGCGGTAGGTATTGACCGGGCCAAACTCCAGGTTGTAGTTGAAGATGTCGCCGGTCTTGGGGTCGGAGCGGGCGTGTGCGGCGGTCCCGGGACCTTTCAGGTCGGGGTGGAGGTTCTGCTGGCTGGCGAGGGTGATGGGTTCGAGGGTCTCCGGGTCGAGCTGCTTGAAGGCGTTGAAGTCGGTTTTTGCGTGCAGGGTTTTGATCCCGGAAGATGTGTCCCAGCGGTGATTGTTGGTGGAATTATCGGTGAGGCCTGGCATGTTGATGCTCAGAGTGACTCCGATATTTGCGGTCGTGGAAGTGGGTTTCTCTTCGGGTTCGTACTCCGTCTGGACCTTTTGGTATACGACCTTGCAGGGATCGCGCTTTTGGCCGAAGCTGAGTTTGTGCATCTCGCCGGTCTGTCTTACTTGCTCGATGAGAGCGTCGGTGGAGAAGCGGGAGTTGTACAAGACGCGGATTGATGGGTGGGTGCTGTCAGGGGCTAGGAGCTGGAATCGATGGGTTTCACTGAAGCCATCGAACCAGTGACTGGCGCGAAAGGTCTCTCCATTGACGGTGTCGACCTTGTATTTGCCTGGTCCGGTGCGATAGAGGATACCAGCTGCGTAGGCGGGAATCTGGCCTTCGACGGGGAGCTCGATGGGTGTTTTCTCCTCATAGTTGGCTTCGAACTGTGAGATCGAATGTTAGTGAAGAAGGTAAGAGTGTCGAGGAGGAAGACTTACGCCTCGAACATTAGGCCAATTGTTGAAGTGATCTTCAACGCGAGTTTCCTGTATGGCGGACATTGTGTGAGCAAAGCGCTGGGAATCGCTGCGTGTGTGGTGAATTGAAGGTGGTTTCTATTGGAGTGATTGATGATGAATCCAAGAAGATTGAGAGGTGGATTCACGTACTATTTATCTGCCTGACTCCAGCGAGGAGTGGGTTGTGAGGTGGCTATGGTCAACTTTGTTGCTGCTCAAAGAAATGGCCCGAGCATAGCGGTGGGGGGATCCCGCCGGAGTTGGAGCTGTCATATCACCCACCGTCTTGCTTACGGTGGAGGGTTTCCTGTCTCGCAGTGGTGTCCAAAGAAAGTAACTTCTCTGACCAGCATTCGGAATTATCCATTTTCACATGTCTGATAGAATTCATACGTTGATGATAGCCACAAGCCCGCAATAAGCGTAAGAGACTAAGTCCTTATATACAGTCTAATGATAGTAGTGATGTAAACTGCCCTGCCATGCTGTATTCGCTGGTGTTCCCAAACTCCAAGTAGATGGCTCATTCCTCGAAATACCACGCCTTTATTGTATGCTCCTGTTCGTAAAGCGGCTGTGTAGATTCATCCCTCTGTTTGGACGCCATCGCGTCGTGCGCGAGCCTTCAGACGAGTCTGAAGGTTTGGATAGTATGGCTGGAGCCCTAGATCCCATGTGGGAAGCGCCAAATCGGGTATTGAGTTTATGGGCTCGGGCTGCGATTGGATGAAAGTCGGCGAAGGGGTGTGCTGGTTGCGCGGAGCCCCCCCGCTATCCTGCAGTCGCAAATAAGTGCATTCCTTCCTCCGCGTGGCGCATTCTAAGCATGGCTGCCCCCCATCACAGGATTTCTTTAGCCTAGCGCAGACATCACATGCATGCCGTTCTTTGCCGCCTATGCGAGGTCCTGGGATGGCCTGACCGGCATGTATACGGGCAGAACAAGACTTCCAGTGTCGCCGCAAGACATCTCTTGACAAGCCTCCAACGTCAGTTCATGCATTGATCCATTATGCATAGCATACACACCCTCGTTTGTAATGAGAGCCGCAGAATCCACATCTGAAAGGCTTCTGTGAGCTATCTGAGCGCCAATTCATCAGCACCACCCACGGTCCTTGCTTCCAATAAGTGTGTATATCATACGGGTAGCTATATGTCGCTTGTGATGGTCTAAGCGATGAAAGACTGCCGAGCAAAATTGACAACTCCATACTCCGTCCATGGCTCGGTTGTCGGTAGAGGCCTGCATAGTTGTAGCCCACTAGGCTGGAGGCAAATAAGCAACGCGCTGTTGGTTGTAGCTGCATACACTAGGCAGAAATGACCGGAACCATGCGGGGTCGGAGTATTCGATGGCCGCTTGCAACTGAGCTTGGAGCGGGAATCATCCACACCGGCGGGATCAGGACCATTGATCTCCTGAGAGGAGAAAAAGGAACGAGAAAAGTCCAGGAGCGGAGCTGAGAAGGGCTCCGAGGGAGATGCCCCTCCCGAGTCAGCAATAAGCAAAGTGGAGGAATCCCGCAGGTTACCGAGCCAGTGCGGATTAGTGAGGCGGAAGTGGAGGTGGAGGTGAGCCGAAGGATTGGAAACCCCGGCGGCATTCCCCCGCAGACCCGAGGCCGATTGGCCACATCGCGCCTCAGCCACCATGGTTTGGTTCCCTGGATAGCGAATCCAGTCTCACGTGGTATATGTATTTCTTGCTAACATATATCGACTACCGATACCATATGGTTCAGTCCAGATAGTTCCGTCTATGCTGGCATCGAGGAGCCATCCGTGGCATATGATATCGTCATCTCCCTTACGATAGTTTGGCACGGGAAAAGCTATTTTCTTGACGAGCGAGTCGAACTCAACACTTTCCTCATCCTTGGAATTGGATCTCTGCTTTCCCGACTCTCGTGATTTGTAGCAGTGAAAAAGTTGCCGTACAAAGCCTTTATCATCCCCGAGATGGTCCTTGCCATTAACCATCTCAAACTCATCGGCTGAATCTGCAATCAGGAGCCGTTCGAGTGAGGGCAAGAAGTCAGTTGACTGCCAGCCAGACCGAACATCGCGATCCAAGCCAGAAGGTGCAACAAGGACCAGGTGTGTCAAATTCGAACACCGGCGGAGCCCCCCAATGAATTGCATGGATGTAACATCAACTTCGCACAGGGCAAGACGGCGCAGACGAGGCCATAGTGACCACACCGCTGGTTCATAATCCGCCTCCTCCAGCTGGTCGGAAGGGGTCTCCCAAATGTAGGGTAGCTTTTGCGTATCAAGGCAAAGGTCGTCTGCAGCTGAACAGAATTCCTCTAGTAGTGTCAAGCGCTTGAACGCCTCGCGTAGCATGGGGCGCACCTCCAACTCGGGGACTGACGGGTTATAGAAGCGCAGGGGTAAATCAATCACCAGCCTGGTCAAGCGGTGACAAAGGTGAAACGAGAGCGTTTCGATATCTCGCGCAACCGGGAGCCTATCGGGCTCTTCCAAAACCAGTACAAGGCCAGCTGCAGTACTTTTCTGTACTTGTGCCCCCGTATCATTTGGCCTTCGGTTGACAAGTTCTGGTGGCTCACATTCGAGTAGATGCCCCAATAACCATTCATCGTCAATCAGAAGACAGTGATTAATGAGAAGTCGTCTTGCGATCTGGCAAGTAAATCGCGAGACCAATGTCAGATTGACCAAGGTATCGATTTCTCCTGAAAAGTCGGGATACGCCACCGGCGGATCTGGAGGGATGATAGACTCAATAATGAGTTGAATGATTTCAGGCGGAAGACGCATTGGCACCAAGGTGTCCCCGGCGATCTTGTCAGGTAAGTCTCTATGTGAAGCAACGATTGTTTGATAATTGATATTAGGAGGGCACGATCAACAGGAAACAGAGGTGAGAAGTTGTTCAGAGCAAAAGTCGATCTGGGTGAATGTCTCTCATTGATGTTGGCGGGGGGATGCTCGAATCCTTCTGTCCGGCAAGCAAAGTCAACAAACATGTGAAGGGCGTCGTGTTCCCCGGTCGCCGTAAAGCTATATAGGATAAACTGCGAGCATCGCGGGGGATCATAAACATCCAAGGGACTAAATACGCTGCCTAGTATAATCAACTCGGCAGAAAAATGGCCAGTTGTTGCAAAGATGCCCAGCTTCCTGGAGATCTGCCGCAGTCGTCCAGCCGGCCGATCTTGGATTAGTGCCGGTACAGGTGATGGCTAAACCCGATCTAGCTTAGCGTGCTATCTCCCCATAGCCACCAGTCCATCTTGTTTTCCTATTTCTATATCTTTCCGTAAATACCTTTCGAACATCACTGTCTGGAATAAGCTTTATTATTGTTGTTATTATTATCAAGATTATCTAACACATTATGGGAAAGGCCGTTATCAAGGATTATTTCCTGTCACTGCTCCCCAGATATATGCCGCCCAGCTTCCCATCACAAGCAACACCAAACCAGTGAAGCAGCAGATGGAGATCATTCTGCTACGCTGGTAGTGTGTCACCAGATGATGTTCCCGAAGCTTGCCGATGTACTCAGCTCCGGAGGCCATGCGTCGCTTGCGGGTCCATTGCAGAGGAGCAAGATCCCGACCGATAATGGAACCGATCAGGAGGACGATCGAAACAATCGCGCAACAGATGGCCAGAAAGAGGTAGACCCGCACGGATCGACGGTAGGAATCATTATCAGCATCTTGAAGCGCACCTGTAATGATGCCGATAATGATCGTCATCCTAAAGCCATTGGTTAGTCCTTGAATTCTCTATGCTCGTTTGGTTGCTAAGGGGTCATACGCGTTATTCATGGTAACCTTTAGTGCGTACGCAGAGCCAAAGACCGACTGGTGCCAAAGAGTTGTACGGATGCCGTCGATGATAGATGTTGGACCCAGTGAAACCGCAACCGCGTACATACCGAATGCCGCGGCTGTGCCTTGTTTGGACTCGGCGAAGTTCACCAGTACCATGGCGATAAAGATCCCCAAACCGCACACGCATACTGCGATAAAACGTGAGTAAACTGTAGCTCAGCAGCATGAGTTAACTACTTACGAACAGAGGCACGATGGCCGAGGATGTCAATAAAAACTCCCAAGCAGGGTACAAGGAAGAAACCTGGATTGGTCAGCGATATCTCTTGTAACGTAAAATCAGCTGATGACCTACCTGCATATTGGGCCAACGAGCTGTACCATCCCGCCTTGATTGCATCGACATTGAATCTCTTCTCAGCTAACTCTGTGGCGTTCGAGCTGAAGACGCTGGCTGTGCTAGTCTGGAACATTGAGAAGGCGAGAATAGCCCAGAACATCCACGGCAATTGGAACATCTTGCGAAGTTCGAACTTCTTGTTCTTTTCAGTCAGAGTCTCCTGGGTTGCCTTGTCTTCGCGACCACGGAAGTGTTTCTCGCAATAACGATTGAACAGCCAGAAGAAGCAAGTTGCTGCGTTCGTGAAAAGGTTCATGAACACGGATGTCCAAAAGACCCAAGCGAAATTACCGGTATTCTGTTCAGTGTCAGTAGATCGAAATGCTTTTCTTTCGATGATATCCATACCTTAGCGATGATGTTTGCTGTTGACTTCCCTACAAACCCTCCAATCTGTATCGGTCAGCTTCAATATATGCGGTGTGTGGTGATCTGCTTACTTTGCCAATTGCCAGTTCAAAACCAAGGGTCGAGGCGAATCCATTGCTTGGAGGAAACCACGACGAGAACATCTTGTACTGTGCTGTTTGGGTAGCAATGTCACCCAGGGAGAGGATGATCCTTCCGCCGACCATGAACTTGAAGGATCGAACTGTGGTTGCAGCAGCCACTAGTATGGATCCAATGGTATACACGATATTGCCATAAACAATCATCCCTGTGGCAGATTAGGATTTTGCAAACCGAGCGACAAAGGTGTGGTATGCTTACGAGCACCTCCTACTCTGTCGGTCACAATACCACCCGGTAGAAGAAGGACGGTAGCCATAAAGTTCTCACTGGCTTCGAGTAACGAGAATTGAGTATTCGTGATGTGCATTTGCTACACCGAAGGTCAGTAATATTTACCAGTGTTGAAAGCAGTGTGTAATTACCTTCTTTAGAGTACTCTTCATCGCTCCTACAACGCCGCTGCTCCAGTGGGACCCGAAACTGATGCAGGAAATAACAAACACGGCAATCAGCTTAGCGAGCAATGGTGGCGGCCGTTTTCCATCTGCATTGTCCATTACTGTGTTGTTGTCTGTTGAATGGAACGAGCCTGAAGAGGTAGGCTCTGCAGTTGTAACCTCGGTGACTTTCTTGTCGGTCGCCATATTGCAAGGCGAGGGCAGATAAACCACCAACCAGACGTTATCAGGCTCACGATTGGTCTTATGATATAATTTGGCGGCCTTTGTGCAGTCGTTCCTCTTTTGCAATAATACCCAGCAAATTTTCCGTCGCAAAAGAACAAAAGGCGGGCAGCGAAGAAAGGAATGGATCGACACAGTCTTTATAGGAATGCTAGCAGCAGGGAGCAAGCGTGCTCAGACAAGCTAAAGCTTCTTTTCTCACCGATCGGACCCATGGTGCCAAGGAGATACCATCAGATAAGATGCCCGTGTTTCTCCGAATGTCGCAAAAGCATCCCTTTCGAGGAAAGCCGCCTGTCTTAGGATTGCGATATTAGGCTTGGCATCTGTGAAAACCTCGATTTGCTGGAGCATGTGGTGTGCTAATATTATTGAAGCTGTGGCAGTAGTCTGCTTTCATTGGCCATATCCTGCTCATCGTGACTGATTGATAAGATTGGTGCCGTGATATGACCCACTCCGCGGACAGGTTCCGTAAGGGAAAAGCCATGAAGGGAGGCGAAAACAATGGTTTGCCAAGCCTGTTCCGCTGCTCGATGATAATGACTAGGTCTCAAGCTCGTAATGGTGCCCACTCAGTGTGCGGATAGCCTGAGAAGAGCGCGCCGTCCGCTCATTTTGCCTCTTCCCCCGATGATCAAAACCTGTCGCAGGCCTGTTGGGATCCAGACTTCAGGTGTCCGGTCTCAACATGCGTGCCCTGCCTTTAGATAATTATGTGTATGTTGATGCTTGCCAGTCTTTCAACGCTCGAGCTTTCGCCATTCACGGCTTTTGCCTATGACAGGAGACCCTTTCGCCAAGCTACAAACTTTTAGCCTATTTGACGTGTCCGCCATGTGCACTCAGGATTAAGTATTAAGGTTAGTTGGAATGCTCCCCACCATAGCACGTGGAATCATCAACAGTTGGAACGCGGAACATCAGGAGAAGATCTTCACACGTAATTACTTGCTCAGCTTGCTCGAGTGAATTGTTCCACCTTCCAGGGACCACGTCGTCGGAGAACTCAACCTCCGAATAGTGGGGACAATGACACAGGATAGGGACTAACGTCCGATCCAGGAACCCGATCGGAAGAATGAAATGCAAACGGCCAAGGATCCTTAACTGACTAATAATCGATGAAAACTGGTTTATCTCGCTCAGAAGATGGGTAGTGGTGCCAGGCACTGATATGTTCTTTGTTTGTCCTTCGAATATTTTTCCAGATTCAAAACGGCTCCTCTTCATCTCCCACCCTCGACAAAGGACAATGTCTGTCGTAGAGTGCCTACTGCTATCAAGAGAATAAACATGACAACATCTGCTGGATAACTCCGAAAAAGTCTTCCACAAACTATATTCACAGATCAGCGGTAACTGAAAATGCATCCTTCACGCCAGAATGAGTCAAAGGTACCAGCAAAACTAATGATGAAGACAGCCCTGCTGATCAGTTCAGAAATCAGCATTTTGATTTGTACCGCCATGAAAGATCTGCTGTGAAGTTACCTTCCAAGACCTATATCGTCGCCTGCATGATGTTAAGTGAATATAGGTAGACCTCAGCAGGGTTCCGTGAAAGATCCCGCTGTCTACGGGAAGTTCCATAAAGAGAAACTCTCCCACGCAGGGTCATCCTCCAAGGGACAACCCACGCCCATATAAACAGCCTCTAAGAGGTTTGACGCTAGTTGACAGATGTTTATCGTAGCATAACTTTACGCTATTCAGCCTAGGAACTTCCCATTCCTTCTATAACAGCCGGCGACCCTGTACTTACATTTAAGCGACTTACCACTTGAACAATCCTGATTAGTTTCTTTAGGCACCAGAGTACTCCCCCCATCACCATCGAAGCCCCAAACAAGAAAGGTATCATTCATCCTCAAGATGAAGTTCGACCGACCCTCCTCGCCCCTTACCATTGACGGCGGGAGGCTTGTATGTCGCGAACACCTCCTCGTGATCTGCGCTATGTGCTGCGTGGATTACAGCAAGATGAGAGAGGACATCGGAATGTGGGAAGCAGGCGAGGACTATAATACCCATGTCGCTCAGGACATCCAAATGGAGGAAGCTGGTGATGTTCATAATGACAACCACAGTTCTGCCAAAGCCACCAGAAACGAGAGACAACAACCCTCGATGAACCCTCGATCAATGGAGATCGATGAGCCACACCAAAAGTCCAACAAGAGACACAATGGCCGACACGGCAAAGAAAGCCGAATTCAGCCCGTGTTCCCCCAGAAGTTCCTCCCTCCAACCCCAGAGGATACTCCACGATCACTCTTCAAACCGCTCGTTTTCGTATCAGAGGGCAGGCCTTCGATACGCCGATTCGTTGGAAGAGAGAACCACTACCAATGCCTGGTATATACAGCTGGCGCTTGCCATGATAATTGGAAGGGGGATGAGAACTATGCCAAAGCTGGCTGGTCGTTCGTATACAGACCACAGAACCCATCACGCAATATCACTGGTGGGGTTGCTGGTCGCCTTGAGTTAATGGGACCAACTAGAGTCTATCATCAACAGACGAGAACTCGTGCGGAGCTGCGAGCTGTGATTGCGGCCTTGAAGTATCTGTCTCATGACGGCAATACGTTTGACAGCGTGGTTGTCGCCACGGACTCAAGTTATGTTGTCAATAATGCAACACTCTGGATCCGCAGATGGCTTACAAGGGATTGGAAAAATGCTGGTGGCAGACCGATCAAGAATAGGGACTTATGGGAGGCGTTGCTGAAGGAGGTGAGGTGTTGCTATGTGCAGGGAAGAGAGGTCCATCTGTGGCACATTGATAGGTTGCTAAATCAGGACGCGGTTAGGCTGGCTAATTGGGCGACTGTGCCTGACTCGGCTCCTATCGAGTTCGTGGAGGAATTTCCTCCTTCGTTGTGATCGATCATGTGAGGATTTCATCTACGGTTCTATTGTAAGCGCTGCTTCTCTGGACGTCAGTTTCCGTAATAATACTCTTTTTTTCTATTGATCTGCAGCCATCATTGTAGTATATATAGAAACGACCGGCAATAGCAATCTTCAATTACGATTTTAACATGGGCCGAGCCCCATCAAATCCACCAAAGTTTCCTCGGCATTGTAAAGAGCTGTCGGCTTTCGGGAGTAATATTGAAGCACAACGCAGGGAGAACAGGATGATCAGAGAAAAGCTGGGCACACTTGAGGCATTACAACATCAAAATCCAGTACGTCTTCCGTCGCCCCAGTGAAATCGCAAGTCTTGTCACCCCGTTCGGAAGAGCCTGGTGCCCGAGATCCCAAGCTCGGTGCTGCTCAGGCTCATGTGCAGGAAATGGAAAACGCGCATGATCAAGGAAGTTTGGATATGCGTGGGCCTAAGTATACGTCTGTACTTGAGCAGCTCGAACCGCATCGACGAGAGCTGCTAATTGTCCAAAGCAATATACGGAGTATGGGGCAAGACCATGGACGGCGATACGGATGCGATCTGTAACCGATGTCCTCCGGAAAGCTTCTCGCGCAGCTGGAGGGTTTGAGCATGTAAAGGTGAAGGCTAAACGTGGTTCAAGTTATGATATTTCACGCAGGGTTGATTGCCATGTCTTTAAAGTTACATCCTCTCAATCAAGGGATGATCGTGCTCAAGTGTCAAAGACCCGAGGACGAAGCCATTCACGTTCTGATACTGGCCTACCCTAAGCACTGCAACCCAATAGTTGGCATTCCCTTTCCTGTCCGCCTCATCCAAGGGAACTACGACATGTATTCACATAAACCCCGATGATTCCCTCTATACTCTCCGGATATCACTGCAACTGATCACTGATATATTGACTGCGCGCTGAATGAATGGCCAATTACTTCATTTCCTATGATTATTCATTGCCATTCTCCGACTCGGGGCGAGATATAAAAATGCTGCTTTTGCCCTTCGTAATCTTCCTTCTGCATTATCCCCTCAACTTAGGATACCTTAATAAAATATAAAGTATTTGTCTTTAAAATCAAATAAATGGTCCATTCTTCAAATGAAAAAAAGAAGATTGTCTAGCACTCCCGAAAAGAATTCTATTATGTGTATACCTGGATACTAAGTCGCCGAACTCCGCAAGTTAGGAATATATTCAGTACATCTGAACTGGCCAATCTGCTTTAGTGATGTCGATGAAAACATATATCCTATCGACGAAGCCCGGATTGGGTTTATGAAAGGAGTCTTCAGTTCATATTCCGGGTTGCCATGTGAAGCCCCAATTGACACCATTGACATTTTCCAGATATAAAGAAACGACGGGAAAGGTGACTGCAGTCTTCCTTAATTGTGCTTCCACTTGGCATTCCCAACTTTTTGAATATTCCCTCCCTTCCACACCGTCTCTTCCCCTTTTCGCCCATACTGGAATACTAAGTCCAAGACGTTGAACGCACACTAACATTGCATAGGTGTATGAATCACCAAAATCTCTTATAGTAGCCCTATGGGCCTATATTGACTCCTCGGTGGCCCGCTGTTGAAAACAGTCTCGGCGTTTTGCTGGTTTCATCTGACCATTGCTATCTAGCAAGCCCAATGGGCCAACCTTGTTGAACAGTTTAATTATGAGCAAATATGGTGCTGTCATTCGGCACACTTGATCCACTTCTAGTAGGTCCTATGGACCGCTGAGGTTCCGTCGTCTCAGAGTGGTCTTGTTCTGCCTTTACCAGCTGGCCCAATGGGCCGTTGTCTGTGCTGCTGGGCCATTGCATATAGCAACTGTACGTTCTCTCTTCGCAGCGTCGATAATTCCGTACGTGGCTAATATAAGACTTTTATAGTACGTGAGCATGTCATGTTTCCCGAAAGAACATGCATGTGTTGCCAAAGGAAGGATACGAGGATTGGCAAAAAAAAAAGGCACCGTCAATCCATACGAACAAGTACAACACTACGGTGTTAAAAACCGGAGTTCCTTCAAAGTGCGTGGGATATCGGTTACTACTTTAACCCGTTGATTCCCAGTAGCGGAGATGTTCGGGCAAAGTCTCGAGAAGCAGAAAGCGATTTTGGACCATACACTGGTATTACAGAGTTATGGCTCTCGATATTGCCTTGTTAGATATTCTTAACGGGCATATGCTTCTGTGCTACATAGCGAAGCTCAGCCGGGAATGTCAGTGGGATGTGGCTCACAATACTAACCCAGGAAGGATTATGCACAACGACCAGAAGAGTAGAAGGTAAATCTTACGGGCATATCAGCATTATTACAACTATGGTATGCATTCTTCATTTATCGCAGCAGAATTACTATCTGTTATCAGAAGTACTAAGAGGGACATCCTGGAGGTGTCAGATATCGACAAATCTGGCAATAAACAACCTGCTATCCGACAAGCAAGACAGGCAATCAGATACGCTTTGCATGAGGATGAAGAATTCAAAGCATAATCATATATAAGAATTGCTACTGGCACATAACAACGGGACGATATGATAATATCATCGAAACAGGCGAAACCCGCTATTGATTGTTAGAGCGTCGAATCATGAGCAAGACGAGATGACTCGGAAAATACTCAATCTATTCACTGCTAAATGGAGTAAGAACCGATTGGAGATTTCGTTTGGAAATTGAGATGGGAGAAGACGTTGACAATCAATGCTTCCTTGAAGTGGGTCATCTAACGACGGAGACCCAGAGGCATACCAAAAGAAAAGTCAGAACAGACTCTTTGGAACCTACTGATCTAGCGTCACTAATTGTCATGAGGGCGCTCAATATTACCAAAACTCAATCAACGAATTTGTCGAATGACGAACTCTAGGAGATAGGAGCAAAAGGTGGTTCTAGCTGCAATGGATATGGTCACCAGCGACACGGATGAAGTGCTCCTAGAACGCATTCACATGGCCACAGCTTACGCCAAGATACCTGGTCCTTAAATACAGAGACTACCACAATTTAGACTTAGGTGACTCATCGGGGCTATTCGATGATCCAGAGAGTCTTGAAGATATGTCGAGATCACTGGCCACGTTCTACAAGATATCCTGGCTCGAACTGCAGCAGTTTTACTTACTAAAGGTCAGCATTGTTCTTTGTACGGCTTCAACAGCTGAATGAGAAAGCTTTTGTCTATAAGAAGCCTTATTTGAGAAGGCAACAGAAATAAGTGTTACGCCAATTCGCTCATTGACTTTCACCTATCGGTCAGAGGAATCATTATGAGCAGAAACGTAGCCCAGCTCCTCCCTACAGTCACATCGGTCTCTCAGATAGTGCTTGCTCCATGGTGCGGCTCTCCTTCTTTAAACGACTTCATAACGCTGGAGTCCGTCACATTTCCTAACCATGCAAGACCGAATGCACCCGTCCATTACAGCTTCTATAAGGGAAACCAGAAGTTCTTCCTTCCCGCATAAAACTCTAGTAAAAGGGTTATCATTGATGAATCAGCTTCAAGTCAATGAGAAGGAAGTTTCCTGACACAAAGGTACAACGTCAAAAATTTATAACCTCAGGATATATCTGTCAAGGCTCCGAAGTCCGGAGGCTTAGCAAAGGCACGTCCCTATCCAACCCAAGTATATATCCATGGTAACGAACTTTGAGAGAACTGTGCGCGGCCAATTGCCCATCCAGAGACGTTCTATGATCTCATACTACGCGGAAGAAGGATATCGCTGAAAGACTCTACATGATATATTTCAGCTCAATGGGGTTGATATCATGAGCGTAGATGCTGCAAAGCGGTGCCAGATGCCTATTGTCATAGATATGAACATATCTGTTGTCAGGTGACCAGATAGACGCGATATATTGTTTTCGGCCTGGCAGTTAGCGTAACGGCAATATTATATCGACAACTGGCTCAGAATGTGGTAATAAGCTCAGCCATTTTACGCATACGTATCTACCTAGGACAAAATCTTCGGGACAATCTCGGGGTTCCCAGTGGAGGACTGGGGCGCGTTCACTGTTACAATCTGGCTTGTTCTCGAGGAATGCAGATTGTCCTTAAGTCTAGGGTATGCTAATTCCTACTGACCTCTGCTACTTCGTAAAATGCTATCTAAATATACAACCGAGTGTCAAGTATTAATTGGTTATTAGTTAGACTCGTATTGAGTTGTGCTACACAATGAATATATCTCATCTAAACAAGCTAGTAGGCGTTGCCGTGTAGCTAATGCCTCAGACTTCTCCAGTCGTCTTTCCAGTTTCAGGCATAAGTGCTTCCAATCAATTCGGGGCGTGGGTGTTTTCACTTCATGGAAGATTTTGGTGCTTATCCGTGAGTGCCAGAAGTCATCGTCCAAGGTTAGATGGAGGGCTCTTTGTACATTGATAACTCCCTGAGAAGGCAGAAAACCGAAAATCATATTCAATATCTCCCATGGGAGAAGCAGAAGCATAGACTCTCGGACCTTCGGAGTACCTTTCGGTTGAAAAATCTTCCCTTTGTTTCTAGTTCGCTTTTGAGTAGTCTGCTCCAGCGCTGTTTTGACACACTCAGTCCGGACCGGGTCTGACACAGCATTAGTTCAACCATTAGTCCACTCAAAAAAGGCAACGATGTGTTCAAGAATCTTGCACAGAAGGAATGAATATAAAGATGCATATCTACCTCCAAACCACTCGTCTGGCATCCCACACACCCGTCTCCACGAGTTCTCCTCATGCCTCTGTATTAAAGCTAACATGAGAACCTTCAGGTTCTTGTTCGCAATATCGCCTAGCTTGTGGTGCATGAGCAGTTCCCAGCACCGTGCGTGGACTGGATATCCCATCCAGTCATGGGAAATATCGTCTTCATACCCGCTCATGAGGGTATGACCTTCTTCATCGATCATAACCTTAACCATCGGCATGACCACCTTCCGCCTTTGCTCACTTGTACGAGGCTCGTAGATCAAACCATCAGTCTTCTTCCAAGGTACAAAGAAGGTGCCATAATTTATTCGTGGTATGGTAACGCCGGATATCTGGCACCCATCGTTTTTAATGTTGTGTAGAACTGGCGGGTATTTATGTCAGTAGCAATCAAACCTCCAGACAACTTTTCCGCGGCCTCCAGCGGTTTTCCAGGCCATGATGTTGACCTTACGCAGTAAGTACTTATGATGGTAGGTAGCAGGTTAGCTTACTCATCCGACGAGGCATCCACCACAATGACTGATAATCGCCATACATATCCAAATTCTCTAATTTTTGGGCTTTGCAGATACCCTTTTTGGGATGGCGGAAGGTGACATGATTCAAGTCGTGTGCGTCTGGTGAAAGCCTATTCAAGTAGAACGCGTAGCCGCAGATATAACATTGTTGGAAATAATCATCATCTTCTCCGCGAAGATCATCCACATCGTAGTGGCCACTGCTATGTTCATCGTCAGAGGAAAAGAGCAAAGAGGAGTTGTTGGAGACAGAGTCTGGGTCTGGCATTTTCTCTTGCTGTGGCATTATGTGTATCTGACTACCACCTGAATGCAGGTTAGGCTAGTTACTGGCAGGGAAAGTTGGATTGTTATAACGGTTTCGTTCATATTCAGAGTAATGATGACATATTAGGGGAGAATCTATCAGAGCTTATGAACTTCCCTATACAGGATAAGTAGTTATGCTATCATAATACTATCAACAAGCGGAGTGTTCTGACAATAGGATCAACCATGGCAACATTATAATACCACCCTACCAGTCCAACAATTACCCATCCACAGCATCATCGCCGGAAATAAGGTCCATATCATATCCTGGCCTGATAAATATGGCACCACCCGGATAACCAGTCCACTTTTCCGATCCATCAGTGCTCAAGCACCTGCAGATTCGGATATGCACGCCATTTATTGATCCACCAATAATGTGAAATTCCCGACCTCATCCTCTCCCCCCACGGCCTACAGCAGCTGTGCTACCCCCACGCGGGGTATGGGGGTATTCGCAGCTGCTATCGTTGGAGATCTAGAAGCTGTATTGCGTGGGGGTGCTACATAAATACTATGTCTGTTAAGTAGCTACGGCGTCATTGCAAAAGCAAGCTCATTGCTAATTCCAATTGTCCAGAATCATGGCTCCCATCAAGTCTATCGAGTACTTTCGCGTCAAGCCGCGCTGGCTTTTCGTCAAGGTGACGGACAATGAAGATAAGTTTGGTTGGGGTGAGGCTACTCTTGAGGGGCATACACAGGCTGTGGAGGGTGCGTTGGATGAGATTATTGGAAGGCTTGTGGGTTATGAGGCTGAGTATGCTTCCTCAATTTCTTTGTTCTTATCTTGTTTCAGTGCTAATGGAGTAGTGACATCGAGCACATCTGGCAAACTATCTGGCGACTGGGCTTCTATCGCGGTGGGCCGGTTTTCATGTCCGCCTTGTCCGGCATTGACATCGCATTGTGGGATTTGAAGGGTCGCAGGTTGAACGTACCGGTGTACCAGCTCCTCGGCGGCAAGGTACGCAACAAGGTACAGGTTTACGCTTGGATTGGTGGTGATCGACCCAGTGATGTTGAAGTAGCTGCGTAAGTCACCTTCCCACTGTTCGCGTTCCAATTCTAATAGCACCCAGCAAGGCACGTCTTGCACAGGGTCTCAAATGCGTCAAGATGAACGCGACAGAGGACATGAACTGGCTCGACTCGCCATCTGTACTAGACTCCTGCATCGAGCGCATCAAGCAGGTGAAGGCTCTCGGTCTTGACGCTGGTCTCGACTTTCACGGCCGTCTCCATCGCCCCATGGCTAAGCAGCTTGCGAAAGCACTTGAGCCTTACCGTCCTCTGTTCATCGAGGAACCCCTGCTCGTTGAGCACCCAGAAGCTATCAAGCAGCTTTCTCAACACACAACTATCCCGATCGCCTTTGGAGAGCGTTTGTATACTAGGTGGGATGTGAAGCGGTTCCTCGAGGATGCGTCAGTGGATGTGCTGCAGCCGGATATCGCGCATGCTGGTGGAATCTCGGAAACAAAGCGAATTGCGACCATGGCAGAGACGTATGACGTGGCGATTGCGCCGCACTGTCCTCTTGGTGAGCTTCATCCCACTTCTCCTACACGTTTCGGGTGTTAATGATTTTGTCAGGTCCAATTGCCCTCGCGGCTTCAATGCAAGTCGCCCTCTCGACTCCGAACTTCGTCATTCAGGAAATGTCGCTCGGAATGCATTACAACGTTGAAGCCGGTGACATTGACCTCACGAGCTACCTAACAAATCCCACGGTTTTCAACATTGAAGAGGGGTATGTGCCAGCGCCCACAGGAGCGGGGCTGGGAGTGGAGATTGACGAGGAGATGGTGCGTAGAATCAGTCGGGAAACGGAGCCATGGCTACCGAAGGAATTCTATGGCGTCGATGGGGGTATTCGCGAGTGGTAGATAGCTTAGACTTGTAGGACAGAATGTGGGGGTGAATGCGGAGGTGATCTGCATCTTGACGTCTGGAAATGCGGAGAGCGTGGGGGTGCCTCGGATATCGGTCCGAATACATATACCAGCTATAGCTCATATAGTACTAAGATAGTATTCACAAGCCATACTCAATCACTCCCAGTCAACTGACCGTAAATAATGGACCTCTTCTCTCTCGAAAATACAACCGCCCTTGTCACTGGCGGCACCCGCGGCATCGGCCAGCAAATGGCCATTGCCCTGGCCGAAGCCGGCAGCGACGTGATCCTCGTCCAGGTATTCACCATCACCACATACTATACACCAACTACAGACTCTAACTGACACGAAATAGAGAGACACATCCAACACCGAAACAAAACAACGCATCGAATCCCTCGGCCGCAAGGCAACCATCTACACCGCGGACCTCTCCTCCCGCGAATCCGTCTCACAACTCACACCTACCCTCCTCTCCGACGGCCACGACATCAGCATCCTAGTCAACTGCGCAGGCATCCAACGACGCCATCCCAGCCATCTATTCCCAGACAGCGACTGGGACGAAGTCAGTCATCCAGTCCCTCCCTTCCCCCATCCTTCAAACCGCCCGTCCACTAATCAAAGGAAATATGAAAAATAGGTCCTCCAAACCAACCTAACCACAATCTTCACTCTCTGCCGCGACATCGGCGCCTACATGCTCACCCGCACCCCAGACGCCACCGGCCACCGCGGCTCCATCATCAACGTCGCCTCGCTAGTCTCCTTCCAGGGAGGGATTACAGTCCCTGCGTATGCGGCTGCGAAGGGCGGCGTGGCGCAGCTCACGAAAGCTTTGTCAAACGAATGGGCGAGCAAGGGTATCAATGTTAATGCGGTGGCGCCGGGGTATGTAGCTACGGAGATGAATACGGCGCTATTGAATGATCAGGACCGCGCGAAGAGTATACTTGAACGTATCCCGGCGGGGAGATGGGGTACCGCGGAGGATTTCAAGGGCGTTACGGTCTTTTTAGCTGGGAAGGCGAGTCGGTATGTTTCGGGGAGTGTGATGTTGGTTGATGGGGGGTGGATGGGGAGGTAGAGATTCTTTTGGGTGTGTTATACCAGTCTAATCCGTCTTTTCCGGAAATTTTGGGGTAAAGAACTCCGTGTTACGGTGTCAGACCGCAGCTGGAGATTAGTTCAAGTAGATTCTGAAAGATTCTGACACTAAATTGACTCTGTCATGTAACTAGAAGCCATACAAGAAAACATATATATCAATATGTTTATAAAATAGAAATAAAGGAAGAACGAACAATCAATAATCCCGGACACCTTGAGATTCTTATGATACCTAAAACTGCAAGAGCTTGTTCAATCCCAGGAACAGCAATTCTCTAACAACCCTCAGAAGTGGATCCATATGCCGAATCGTCTGAATCAAGCAAGAGGCCCACACAGTTAATTTTAGGTATGTATCATATAGATAAGCTTATAGTCTAATCCCTCCAGGTTTGTCATGCATAGTGCTGAAAGAATGATGCTGCCTAGAGATATATAAGTCCTTAGTTTAAACGCTTGATATGGGTATATGGAAGCATGAAGAACTGAAGATCATCATGGCCACCAGGCTCTCGTGTCGAGGTTCCTTTAAATATGTCCTAGGTAGTGCATTTTAGTCAGTATCCCAGTACATATCGACTAGTGGGATGGTAGTAACGATAAATATACAGTCAGGTTCTTTAGGAACTACCCTGCATACTACGATACCCTTCTGAGACACCCATGAAGCAAATCATCCTCCACTTGCCACACATAATACAGAAGTAATGGCAGAGATTAGCTTGGAATATTGCCGCGTAGCCGGCACCTGGATGATCCTTGAAACCACGTCAATTCGGACAACTGCCGACTACTACCACCAAAAGAGGAAAAGCAGGGTCTGGCCAGAGCTCGAGAACATTTCCGGATCCGGAATGGTGCGGATTGTTTTGATCAGCAAGTTTGCGGAGACTAAACCCGATCCGGTGTACCGCTGCTTCACTCCCCACCTACACCCGTTACGAGTCAACTTCTTTTGGTGCATGTTCTTGCACAATATTTCCAACGGGTTGGTTTTTGATTAATCAGGAATTAAACTGCTATTATCTCCGCGATCTACACTTACTCTTGCCGCATCAAGCCCTCTAGCGAAAGATTCTGCTCGTACTATGACGAAGCCTTCCAGGCCATTGTGCCGCATCGTTTGCAGATTTTTGCTGGTCCAAGCATTTTTATTTCTCCTAGGAGTATTCTGCTAGGAGTACTTGAGTCTAACATTTCATGCAGCTAACTCTAGTGACCTGCAGCCGCCTGAAGCCATACAAAATGTGGAGATAGAATGAAGTTTTGATTCCGGCTGCCTGCGCCTTGTTACAGAGTACGATAAGGCACCTCGGCCTCCACCACCTGTTTTGTATGGTCAAGAACTAGTATAAGCTTATTTATACCACCCCCACCTACGCACACTATGTCCTGAAACCATGTGCAACAGTGGCTCTTTTAGAGCAGTCACACTGCGACACTCTGCATGTGTCCCAGTTTTAGAACCATTCTATATGCAGTCCTGTGCGTAAATGCCTCTTTTAGAGCAACCGCCCTGCAACATTGTGCATTAGTGGCATATTTAGAGCCATCAACCTGCAACCATGTGCATAAGTGCCATATCGTAGAGTAACGGGTATACGGGCACTAAAAATGTGGTATTATACCACTCCACCTTTTGCGCATGGTGAATTTTAGTGCTAGACTTCACCTGGGCGCTAAATAGTAAGCCTTGATGATCCTCCACTCCAACCGGCATGTTTTTAGAATCAAGCTTTGCCCTACCAATCTGGTGGTCGCTTCTCCACTCTGTAGCCTGGAACCACAACGAGGAACGCGCAACCAGTGGATTCGACATGATTTGCCCCTGAAGCATCCCATACATCATCAGACATTAAGCCTTGATACTGGCAACAGCTCAATCGTCCCACTTCTCGAAAAACCTCCTGCCGCGTCAGTCTCAATCATGGATGCCTATTTCCCT